CGTGATCGTCCTCAGGGGCCTCAGGCTTGGGTTTCTTGGGAAGGTTTCTCGTGGCCGAGCCCCTACTGCAGCGAGGCCTACCACAGGCCGACCGCGTGGTGCGCGGCAGAGCCAGAGCGGCGGACGAGAGGCCGAGGGCGCGGCTCCCGGTGCGAGTGCGCCGCAGGACCGCATGGGGCACGGCTGCCGTGGCGCCAACGACTCCACCTCCTCCGCCTCGTCCTCCTCCTCCTCCTCCTCCTCCTCCTCCTCCTCCTCTCCTCCCTCCTCCTCCTCCTCTCCTCCTCCTCCTCCTCCTCCTCCTCCTCCTCCTCCTCCTCCTCTCCTCCTCCTCCTCCTCTCCTCCTCTCCCCCTCCTCCTCCTCCTCCTCTCCTCCTCCTCACCTCCTCCTCCTCCTCACTCCTCCTTCTCCTCTACTCCTCCTCCTCCTCCTCCTCCTCCTCCTCCTCCTCCTTCTCCTTCTCCTCTGCACCTTCGCAGGCCGGCCAGCTCGCAGGCCCCCGGCCGCGGGGTGCTGCTCCCCGCGCCCAGGCGGCGGCCGGCTGGGCGGCGGCGGCCGGCCAGGCCGCGCTGGGCGCGCACATCGGAACATCGTCGGGGTGCCAGGGCCTGCCTCTCAGGGTTCAGTCGGGCGTGTCCCCCTACAGAGGGGAAATTCATAAATCGAGCACATGGAGGAGGAGGAGGAGGAGGAGGAGGAGGAGGAGGAGGAGGAGGAGGAGGAGGAGGAGGAGGAGGAGGAGGAGTTGGAGGAGGAGGAGAAGGAGGCAGGGACAAGACAGAATGAGGAGGAGAAGGAGGAGGAGGAGGAGGAGGAGGAGGAGGAGGAGGAGAAACGTTCGCAGGGGCAAGACAGGAGGAGGAGGAGGAGATGGAGGAGGAGGAGGAGGAGGAGGAGGAGGAGGACGAGGAGGACGAGGAGGACGAGGAGCAGGAGGAGGAGGAACAGGAGGAGGAGTAGGAGGAGGAGAATGAGGAGAAGGAGGATTCCACGTCTTGCTGCACGTCACTGTCTGGTCTCCTCTCGTTGCCCGATCTCTCGTGCTGCTCGGTGCGCTGGCTCACCTGCTGCAGGCAATTAGCTCTGTGCACCGAGCCCGCTTTGTTTGACGCACTTGAAGCGCGTTGTACTCCAAATCGAGCGGGCTGTGTGTTGCTTGTTTGACTTCGTGGACTCGTAGAACAACACGCTGCATGAACATGGGTTCCCGGAGGCCCTCGCGGATCTCAGGGGATTTATGCTTATGCAGTTGTTTTGTTAAATCTATTGTTGTCTTTGTTGGCGCCCAGGGGAGAAAACGAGATATCTTTATTTTCGCCGCCAGGCGATGGTAACGACGAGTTCAGGGAGGCCGACCTACTTTGCATTCTTCCTCGCGCTCTGCGGAGGATGCGCCGGCGCCTCAGCGTGACCGGCCAGGTGGTTCGTGACGCTGCTTCCTCATCGCTGCCCATTTTCCCTCTCATGGAGCTTTGGGGGTGGCGGTGGCATGCAGTGTTCGTGAAGTTATTCCTCCTGTGCGGCCGCTTCGTCTTCCTTGTCGTCCTGTGCGTCTTCAAGGTCAGGGGGGCGCCGCATGCTCGACACAGGTATCTGTTTCGCAGTCGCTACGAATCCGAATCCGAAGCTCCTCGTGCTCTTCCTCCTCGCCCTCCCTTCTCCTGCCTTATTCCTCCTCCGACTTGCTGCTGCGGCGAGCACGCCCGCGGGAGATGCATCGCGGGCGCTCCGAGGCAACAGTGGGGGAGAGCTGTGTCTTTGCTCGTGCCCTTCGCCGACCCCCCTCTTCGCCTGTAGCACCCTCGGGGGCGACCCCAATCACGGAGACGTGCACGAGCAAACCTTGATGGGCCGATTTTCCACCACCGCTACCACAGGTAGGATAGGGAGGAGGAGGAGGAGGAGGAGGAGGAGGAGGAGGAGGAGGAGGAGGAAGAGGAGGAGGAGGAGGAGGAGGAGGAGGACCTCCCCATCCTCCCTTCTCCCCCGTGCTGCCTACGGTGGTGGTGGTGGTGGAAGATCGGCCTGTCAACCCTTCGCTCCCGGCCAGCGCGAGCAGAAACACGCCGGCTCCACCCAGGCCACCCCGGAGGGCGCGAGGAGGGTCCGGCTCCGCGCGTCGCGGCCTGGGCAGGATGGCTGCCCTCCGCCAGGGCGCGGAGCGGGGGCGGGAAGCTGCGGGTCGCGCCCTCGCGCAGCGGCGATGCGCTGGGCGACCTCCCCTGACCTTCCCAGAGAGCTATTTTTTAGCACTGGAGGCCTAAAAACCTAAAAAACTGAGCGAATCAGCCTAAAACCAAGACGTAGAATAGCTTTGGGATAGTTTTTTAAGTCGGGTGCTATTTTTTAGCCCTCCTGGAAGGTCAGGGTCTTTCGTTGCCCGAGCAGCGGGCGCGTCCTCTCACAGCGGGGCTCTGCGGGCTTGCCGCCGTGCGGCCCCCCGCCACCCTTCCAGACCACCCTGGGCGCGCCTCGCCGGGATGGCTCCTGTGTTTCGGCCCGGCCGCCCCTCCTTCTTCCCTCCTGAACCTGCACAGGAGGAGGAGGAGGAGGAGGAGGAGGAGGAGGAGGAGGAGGAAGAGGAGGAGGGCCTTCCCTCCTCCTCTCGGGCTTGCCGCTCTGGTTCTCTCTCGCCTCCGCTCTTCCCGCTCCTTCTCCCCCCCCTCTTGCTGCCACACTTGTGACTCGGGGCGTCGCCTGGGCGGCTCGGCATGCCGAGCCAGTCCTGCACCGCACCGCGCGCGGCCTCCCGCTGGGGCGCTCGGCGGCGTGCTCGCCGCCGCCGTGGCAGCGTCCGGCATCTTGAGGTGTGCCCAACGCTGGCTTGGAGGGCGGTCCGACCGCCCTTGCGAGGGCGACGTACACGTTCGAGAGGACGGCTGGCCCTTTCGGCGGCCGACGCACGGGCGCCGCACGGGCGACGAATGCGCGACGCATCCCTTGTCGCGAAGGGGGGGTCAGCACGCCGGTCGTATTACTGGGCCTTAACAGGCGGTCGGCTTCGCTGAAGCAGCAAGCGTGCAATATCCGTGGTGCGTTGAAAAGCTAGGTCGGTGAGCACGGGCTGGTCCGGACGCCCAGGCACGCGAGCGCATTCAGTGCCATCTTCCTCTTCCTGCCCTGTTGCTGATGTAGCCAGCTGCGCGCTGCGAAGCTGTGGTGTCCAGCTCTCTGCAACACGCTCTCTCTCTCTCTCTCTTTTTGTTTTCTCTCTCTCTCTCTCTCTCTCTCTGCGATGGGTATTATGGAAAGTTTAGGGCGATTCAGCTTCTGGCTCGATGTGCGCACCCGCTATTTGATTATGCATCCTTCGCGTCGGAATGATACGCCGCAGCATTGAAATAGCGGAAGGGGGAACAGAGCTGAAGCGGGGGAGCTCTGGAACCGGTTCCGTCTGCAGTCGTTGAGATAAGGAGCTCTTTCAGTTCGATGATTTCCCTGGGTATGTGCCGATGGCCCGTGATGGGGAGAGGGACATACACAGAGAGAAAGAGAGAGAGAGAGAGAGAGAGAACGAACAAAAAGAGAGGGAGACAAAGAGAGAGAGAGAGAGAGAGAACAAAAAAAAAAAGGAACAGAGAGAAGGAGCAAGGGAGGGAGGGGTTCCCGGAAGACATCCACTCGAACACTGGCCACACCGGCTGGCTCGCCCTGGCGCTCGATCGGGTGGGTTGGAAGACGCCCGTTTCGACGACGAGCAGCCGACCTTGGGCCGGCGGCGGAGGCAAGCAGAGTGGGTGTTAGCACAGACTGTTCGGGCCCATCGGCATGTGCCCAAAGAGAAAAAGAGCCCTCCTCCTTTAAGTCGGGCGTGCCCCTGCACAGGAGGAAGATTCAAAAATAGTGAACAAGTAGTCGGGGGACGTTTTTTTGTGTTATTTGTTTGGACAATGTTTGAACATGTTCTGGATATGCTTAATTTTTCGTCCGAAATTCGCCTGTGGGGGTACATACCCGACCTAACTCCTCCTGCCTCCTCCTCCCGCCTGCCTCCTCCTGCCTGCTCCTCCTGCCTCGTGCCTCTCTCTCTCTTCCCCCCCCCTCCGCCCAGCCTGCCTTGACATGCGGCGTCTGGTTTTTGCCAAGGCGCGTCCCCCAGAGGTCCCGAGTCTTCCCCCAGGGTTCGGTCGGGCGCGCCCTCCGATAGGCGGTTTTTGGACGAAGCATGAAAAATTTCCCCAAAATGCACCAACATAGAAAAACATATGAAAAAAAAAAAGTCCCCAGACTATTTGCTACTCTTTTTGAATATTCCTCCTGTAGGGGAACAGGCCCGGCTTAACCCCAGGATCAGTTTTTCCACCCCGAACTGTTTTGTTGACGGCCCCGGGCCCGGCGAGGCTCCCTGCAGGCACGGTGCGGGGGGGTCCGCGGAGGGCACCGGTGCGACGCGGGGGCCCGCGGAGTAGGAGCCCCGACCCCAACAATTTGTCACCACCACCACCTCCCTGATCCCTCCTCCCTCCCCCAGGAAAGAGGACAGGAAGAGGAGGGTAGAGGGGGGAGTGCGGGAGTCACGTCAGGTGCGCTCGCGTCATATCTGACCTTCTGCCCCTCCCTCCCATCTCTGGCCACGGCGTAGGTCTCCTGTCCATTCGCACAATCGGATGTCGCAGCATGGCATCGCATTACATGGTAAAGCATGGCCTTGAAGATTAACACGTAGCATGACATAGCGTGGCGTGGCGACACCCCAAAGTGGGGAGTGGAGGCGGTGGTGGTGGATCTTGTTGGGACCTGCGCCGCAGCTCACCGCACGAGGTTGCCCACGGCAGGCCGGCTCGCACCGCAATCCCGAGCTTGCCTGGCGATCTTCTGCTTCACGATACTGTGCCAACTACTACTCCTTCACCTCCTCCTCCCCCTCCTCCTCCTCCTCCTCCTCCTCCTCCTCCTCCTCCTTCACACCACAGTGAGACCCGGTGGTCGCGCGCTCCCCATGTCCTCCCCCCCCCAGGAAAAAGTCCGACGAGGGGGCCCGCGCCTTCTTGCCCCGAGGCCGCCATCGCGGGGCCGAACATCCGGCTCATCCTCATGAACATCAACCCGTCGGAGCGGCGGGGCACGGCGCCGCGCTCGCCCGGCCTCACCCTGGCAGGGTGGCCGCCTTGCGATCGGGCCCTCCTTGGGCGCCTTGAGACGGGAGTCTGCACCAACGGGGGCCAACGGGTCGTCATCACCATTACCATCACCATCACCATCAGCTTCATCATCATCATCATCATCATCATCATCATCATCATCATCATCATCATCATCATCATCATCATCAGCATCAGCATCAGCATCAGCATCATCATCATCATCATCATCATCACCATCATCATCATCATCATCATCATCATCATCATCATCATCATCATACTTATCATCAGCATCATCATCACCACCACTATCATCATCACCACCACTATCATCATCATTTTCATCAGCATCAGCATCAGCATCATCATCATCATCATCATCATCATCATCCTCATCATCATCATCATCATCATCATCATCATCATCATCATCATCATCATCATCATCATCCTAATCAGCACCATCATCATCAGCAGCATCATCATCATTACCACTATCATCATCATTTTCCTCATCATCAGCATCATCATCCTAATCAGCACCATCAGCAGCATCATCGTCATCATTGTCATCATCGTCCGTCGCCATTTTGGCTCAAGTCCGTAGCCATTTTGGCTCAAGAGCCACTTGGGCTCAAGCACCTGCTTGTCCCCGTGGTTTCCTAGGCGCCCTTGCGCCCCGCCGCCCTCGGATAGTGGTCGCGGCTCGGTAGGAGTGGGTGCGGCAGCAGATCGAAGGCAGTGCCGAGGTGCGCATTTTGGCTGGGGTGGCGCTGGTGGCTGCTCGCGTGAAAATCCAGATCCTGGTGAAGTAGGGCGGGCCATCGTCCAGGACGTGCAAGCGCGTCCAGCTCGCGCTGCTTGAGTCTGTCACGCAGCTGGTGGCTGTGCACTCGGCTGTGCATCGCGGGCGCCGCCACACGGATGGCACCAGCGAGATTGCCATCTGGCCCAGTGCTCTTCTTGACGCTGGTGGTGGAGCTGCCGAGGATGTTGATGGTGATGATCTTCACGATCCAGCTGACGATTGCGATCCTCGTGAGCGTGGGCCTCGAGGCTGTGGGCGTTCCTCCTGCTCGCCCTGACCCGTGGCATGCCCAGGGTGGCACGGACCCTTGGTGTGGCGGGCCGCATCGTGGCCCCCAAGCTCCTCGAGATGGCGTGCGTTGCTGGGCTAGCACACATCCTGCTGCGCACGCTATTCCTCATGCTGTGGATTCTCCTGGTGCTCAAGGTGGATATCCTGCCGACGATAGTGCTCATAGGGATTCTCTTCGGAGTGGCCGTCCTCGACGCCCTCGTGCTGTTCTTTGTCCTGGCGCTGGCGTCCTTCATCCTGCCGGTGCCGTTCGCCATGACCATCCCGATTGGGGGGCGGGCGTCCCTCCTGCTGGTGCTCTGGCAGTTCATTTGCAGACTGATGATGACGTCGCTCCTCCTGCTGATGCCGTTCGACATCATCTATGTGCTGATGGTGCCGTCGACTGTGGTCGTCTTCGTGATCCTGGCCAGTGGTCTTGGCCGTCAGGAGTCCCGGCTCTGTGGGTGCCCTTGAACGAAGTGCCTGCTCTTCTTCGCTTACATGGTTGCATGGTGATCCTTATGTTGACGTCGACGCGGGCCTCTGGAGGGAGCTGCTGCCGCAGTTGCCTGGCTTCCCATCGTTTCTGGCGGCGCCCGCTGGCGCGAGGGTCGTGGAGCAGAGAACGGTACGTCATTGCGTGGTAGGCTAGATCGAGAAGTTGGCTGTCAGATGTTTGTGAGTTCCGAGTTTCGCCACGTGCAGGCCTACGTTTCTAGGCGCTGGGTTTCCTGTTTCCCCACAAGATCGGCGGAATTTGAGGGTGAGGCAATTTTCGTTGGTGTTTGACCGAATTGGGCAGCAGGGTACTCTTTTCCAGACTGAGCTTCATGTGACACAGGCCTCGGGACTGAGTTGGGACATGCAACTGCAGCTACTGAGGAACGAGTTGTTGCCCCGCACGCTTCGAAACAATCATGCGCACCAGTCTTCTGATTCGTAGCCTTTTTACTTTGGGCGGAAGCTCAATCCTCTGGCAACGTAGGTTTGCCACGCGCGCGCCCACAGCAGTGACAGCTGTTGTTTGTTTGGTCGTTGTTCCTCTCCCCTTTCAGCTTGCCCCTGCCCCCGCTTTTTCCCTCGCTCTTGGCCCGGCTCTTGGGCTCCCGCTGGCTTCTGCGCCCCTCTCGGGGCCCGCTCCCAGTCCTGGGGCTCTCCCCTCCCCTGTCCGCCGCGTGGAGGGCTTGTGTTATCGCATCGCTACACATCGAACAAATAACAGTGCTCATGCAGAGTGCGCCTGGAGTAACACATCGTCATCATCACCATCATCATCACCATCACCATCACCATCAGCATCGAGATCATCATCGTCATTCTTAGCATCCTCAAC